TAAAACAGAGCTAAAAGACATTGCATGGAAATGTCCAAATTCTACCACCTATAATCTGAAAATTATGTTCTTAAATGCAGCTAAGACAGCTACACTCTTTTTGATTTACTCTGTGTTTATATTGCAAAAGAGAATGAGCACTGCTTACATGGAAATTTTTGAAAGAAAAGTATTCCAAAAATATGTATAGTGGAAGAAAATGTATTACAGTATTTCACTGACCTTACTCAAATTATGCAGAAATTTAAGCATGGTAAATTATGCCCATTAATTTATTTAAGAAGTTACTAGCAGAAATGAAAAACCTTCTGGACTATGATCAAATACGTGCCTGTACTTTTTACTGGATACTACCTGGAAAAATCTCACTGTTACATAATTCTAATTTTTCTTTGAAGTTAATGGTTTCTATAACAATTGTCCCCTTTTTAATATTTATTATGATCTTTTGATATCAAATACAAATGAGATATAGCCTAACTTTATCCCTATATCTTTAAAATTTCTAACATGACCTTGTTATAATACATTTAAGATTCATTTTTAACTCATTCATTTGCATATCACAATTCTCTATCTCCTTCCTCATTAAATAGGTTAGGGATGGGGGGGTTAAATGTTTCTCTTTAATATTTTTATTAGTGGAAGAATACTTTATGGCTTTTTATGAACATTATTTGAATTTGGAAAGGTAATTTTCAAATTTGCTTCCCAGGATGACATTATAATATAAACTTTGCACAAAGTTACTTCAAAAGTAAAACTTGAGATTAATAGTTCTTTTTGTAAAGTATGCTAAAATTGAAAAAATATATATAATTATTTTAAAAAGAAATCCAAACTCACCTAAAAGGAAATTGACTTTTTAAACAGATAAAATCAATAAGAAATTTTAAACACATAAAATTCATTAAATCACACTTTCTTCTTCCATAATTTATTTTCAAATAAGGAGAAATAAAATGTAGACCTTAAACATTATTAAAATTAAAACATCGATAAACAAGATTTTTCCCACTTATTATCTTGTTTTAAAGCTTCAAGAGGTAAATGAAGATTCCCACAAGATATTTAAGTTTGTTTCACACAATTGGAAATACAACTTTCACTAACTTTGTGTAGTACACAGGACTTTTGTGTGTTCTGAGTACTAACATATACCCCTCACCCAGAACACTGCCTAGCACCTAAACAGATACGCAGTAAGTATTTAGAATAAAACTAATCTATACAGTAAATTTTCTAGTTGGAAGAATAGCTGAATAAAGATCATTTCCTCATAGTAAAACACTATGAAACTTCAAAAAGTTTAGAAATCAGCATGTTCTAAAATATTTCTTGGGATATAAAAGTCTCAGTGGCATAAAAGTCATAAATATTCTGGGAAAATCAGGACTTGACACTATCTTTCCAGATTAGATAAGTAACTCAGAAGGAACAACACTCCAAAAGCACAAAAGATTTGTCTGAGCAGCAGCACCAGGGTATTTTAAAGAGTAATTCCAAGTGGCCTGTGGCATCTTTTTACTGTTTTCCTGATATTAGTTTTAGAGTTAAAAGGAGTAAATTTGGAAAAGGCTGCAAAAAACATAAATAGGTTTCCTTTGCCCCTAATGTTTCGTATACAGTGGTCAGGAAAATAAAACGGCATTATAGTTTTCTCCCTATATAGTTTTACAAATATGAGATTGCATAATGATTCATTTCCTTTGGTAAAATAAGGAAAATCCTACAACATACAAAGAACATTAAATTAAAAATTATAAGATTTATCCAGTTAAGAATGAGCTGTGATCTCACATTATGTTGATAGTTTACTACTATAATAAAGACACTAAAATTAAGATAGACTATTTTACCATAGTTAAAAAAAAAAAACAAAAACAGGTTAAATTGAGCTAGGAGAAAAAAATCAAGGATGACAGAACAGAAAGTTCAGTAGATCAGTTTGGAGGAAATAAAGTATTTAATAATAATCAGAAAGTATACTTTCATCACCTAATAAATATATCATCACTGAGTATGTTCTGAAAATACACAAATAGACGGGGAAACTAGAAATGTGTCCTCACACAGATTTAAGGCAAATAGTTCTTAAACTTCATGAAGAAAAAAATTAACATTAAGCTATTAATTTTATTTTTGTGTTAATTTTCCACATAAGAGACTATTAACTTAGTCATTGAGTCTCTTAATATTTCATGCTTTTATTTAATAATTCATCCTTACACCTTTAAGACAATACAGGCAACTGATTTCTATAAAGATTTTTGGTGCATATGCAGGCTTCTTGGTTGTGTTATTTTTCCTGCAAACTATTAAAAAAATCTCAATGAATGCTCATTGCTATACTTAGAAAGACAAGAGGTTTTCCAAAATCTTATGGTAATAACAAATATAAACCTTAATTAAATACATGAAATCATTTCACAACTAAAAACAGTAATGTACATATGTAGCACAAGAGTTAAAAAAATAAAAAACTACACAATCCACAGTGTGAGTAAATAATTCTACTAAGGTTTCTATCAGCCTCACCTTACCTTTGTAGACCTTAAATTTTTCTAGTATGACATCAGTTAGAGTCACCTTCTTACTGGTAAAGTGAAGGTTTTACTTTGATTAACTTAAAGCTTGTTTCAATTCCAAAGTTACAAAAAGAAAAAGTACTCACAGACCCCAATATTAGTACTCTCAGAGGATAACAGAACTATACACTAATTCTATGTTCAATGTACTTGACAATCACACTGATTGTTTTTCTTCAGAGGCTTTTTATGTATATGGACACATTTTTTTTTTTTAATGGAGATGAGTGAAAAAAGGAGCTGCATCTACAACTAACTCAATTATTCACATAGATGAAGAAGAAAGGATGATCTTATCCTCAATAATACTGTTTATGATCCAAAAATATTTGTTATATTAATTTATGCAAAAGCATAAAACATCAAAAATCACCTGATTATTTGTAATTAGGAAAAAAGAAATACCAGAATCTCCAAAAGAGTTAATAATACTATCTTGCCTCTTCCTGTAAAATATTTCATGGAGCTTTTTGGGAAGAACCCCTGGAGGAGGGCTTGCCAACTCACTACAGTATTCTTGTCTGGAGAATCCTGTGGACAGAGGAGCCTATCTGGCGGGCTATCAGTCCATGGGGTTGCAAAGACTTGGACATGACTGAAGTGGCTTAGCACAGCATGAAAGATTTGTAAGTTAACTTCAGAAAAAGTAAATAGGCAAAAAACAAACAAACAAAAAAAACAGCACAGTAAAGCCTAGATGAGGTACAGAGAACATGAAAGTACTGCTGTGGTTCAGAATCACTACATGGGCTGTCACATGTGATACATTTATTGTTCAGCCAAGTTTGCAATGGCCTAAAATCAATAAAGCAATGAGGACTATTAAAGGGGAAAAAGGAAATGTCACTGACTTAGAAAGAAAAAGATCACTTGGCACCAAACACCTCTGAGTAGAAGAGCTACAATGAGGAATAAAAAAGGTGCTCAACAGATGTCCACTCTGGAACAGAAAAAGGTAGTAGAGAGGAAACAAAGTAAGGAAACTTAAAATTTTTTTAGGGAGAAAAGAATAAAATTAATCTCTTATTAAATCTCCTAAAAAAACTAAATGTAAAAATTTTATTTTGACTCTGTAATGGCTAACACTGGGATCACATGATGAATAACAAACCTGGGCTCATCTTCTAGAAATACAAACTCAATAAATACTTTTACCATTATAACTACATTAAGATGTGTATTAACTTTAAAAAAGAGAATAAAAATAGCCATCATATGGGGATCAAAAGGGCAAAAGATATACCAAGTTTCTCTAAGAAAAGATATAAATTAGACATTAATGGTATTTCAATCTTTTAGGGAAAAAGCAGCTAAACTTTAGAGAATGAGAGAAAGGATCTCTTAATTATACAGCATAAGATATGAATGTTACATTGTAAAATATGAAACAATAAGCTACCTAGAAAATCATCAATTTTCTAGAATAAAAAGGTCAAGAAAAAATATTCATGGGCCCAAATATGATTACTGCTACTAGATTTCTGTTGTAGCTTTATCTTCTTTTCTGGGGGGCGGGGGTGAAGCGGACAATGACACTGAGGTCATGACAGGAAAATCTAGAAGCATCAAAACTAAATCAAAAGCAGTTCACAGGAAAACAAGAATGCTTCAATGATGAAGGCTACTGTCTAAATGATATAATTTTCTAGTATATCTTTATATTTTAGGGAAACAGCAACAAATCAGGTTTCTAGTAATAAGTTTATCAATAGCTACCCACAAATTAGAGAAAGAAATTTGTAAAAAAAAAAACTCTATAAAACAAATTCTAACATGCTTTGTCCTCTTGTTTTTGCCTAAATATGTAAAGTTACATAGATCTTGTATACAATGGACTCCATGAGGTCAATGCTGTCTAAATTATATCAACAAAACTGTCAATTTTGACATAACATTTGGCAACAAAAATATTATTAAACAAAGATATTTAAATTTAATCTGCACATGTACATATATATGTGTAGTAAATGCAGATGTATTCATATATAATTTAAAGTGTTTTTCTTAACTTTACATTTAACTAAAATAATAAAGAATGTACATGTTTTCAAAAGAGATTTAAATCTGACAACTGCTGAACATCATTTGGTCAAATTTAAATAGTAACAAACTTGGAAAGAATAAAATATGCATAGACTCATAAAAACACATACACATTTTTGGCAAACATATAAATAAGGGCACTTATTGCCAAACATAATATAACAAAGCATTATATAAGAGAAGCAATTGCAATGCACTCATTCTTACTGTAGTTTAAGGCAATTATTAACTAAAATCTTACTTTAGGAGTAGCTAGTTTTAAACAAAACATTTTTCCACTGGAAAATTTAGTATTACTATGACTAATCTTTCAGAGCTATGTATTTCCTTCAAAACAGCTTATGTCTGTACATAATTTGGATCACATACCCATGCCTCTGACTGAATGGGCCTGATGTTGCTTAGTAGCACCTCTTCATAGTTTCCATAATCAATGAATTTAACAACTGCTGTCATACCTGAAGAATGAAGAGCTTCAACTTCTGCTCGGTAAAACTGAGGAGACAAAAAGGAGTTTTAAATGGTACAATCAACATTGTCTAGATAAGGTGATACATGATGGAAATATAAATACTCGAAATGTTACAATGTTAGTATTTTTTGAAAGCTCATTTTTAAATCAATTTTATTGCCATATCATTGTATTAGTTTTAAGTGGGAAACATAATAATCTGATATATGTATATATTGTGAAATGACCACCACAATAAGTCTAGTTAGTGTCCACATGGTTATAACCACACATGGTTATATTTTTTTCCTTAGGATGAAAACTTCAAAGATATAAATCTCTTAGCTAAGATATAAATTCTCTTAGAAACTTTGATATATATAATATTTTAAGGAAAATTATTTTTAAGATAATGCATTTTTAATTTATTTAATTGGAGGATAATTACTTTACAGTATTGCTATGGTTTTTGCCATATGTCGACATGAATCAGCCACAGGGGCACATGTGTCTCCCCATCCTGACCCCCGCCTCCCCCTTCCCTCCCCACTCCATGCCTTGGGCTGTCCCAGAGCACTGGTTCTCAGTGCCCTGCATCATGCATGGAGCTTGCACTGGTCATCTATTTTACATATGGTAATGCACATGCTTCAGTGTCATTCTCTCAAACCATCCCACCCTCACCTTCTCCCACAGAGTCCAAAATTTACCTTTGGATAATCATAAATTGGCTAAGAAAAAGAGAGATTCTCTTATCCATGTGAGCTCTGACATACAATTAGCAGCGGTAAGATTTCAGAACTAAGAGGATCAGTAGAGAATATTCACATGCTAATGGGTGCAAAAAGAACTAGTGCTCTTCAACGTCTCCTTGTTAGCCACTGAAGCCCTCTGACATTAGTAAAACGGTTCTTAGGTACTAATTAGAGTACATAAGTATAAAGCAATTTATTTAAAAAACAGAAATATATGACAAAAAAAAATCCTCAAAGGCTCATTGTCATGGCTATAGTCATACAGGCAGCTGTGGTGAAGCAGAGTTCCCAGGCAAGAAGTAAGCACACTAGTTATATCCAGGATTTATAGGATTTAAGACACTGTAAGACCAAACCCTTTTATTTCTTCAGTTTATCTAGTATCACTTGGCTCTGGGAACCAATGCACAAAGTCACCAGGAACTGAATTCACATAACAACTTCAATGTTTAATTTATCTGTTAAGGCAACTTGGAGTAGATCAATTGATTGGAGTATTCCCTTCACTATAGGTCAACCCATTTAGGACTCAAATTATAGGTCTGAATGTTGCTTAATGAACATGAAATAGAAACAAAAAACTCTTAAAATTCTTATTTACTCTCAAGGAAACTTTTCTTCAAACAAGGGCAGTTGGACCTCTTGCCTAATGTCTGCTCTGACAGTGACTCAGTGTAACAGGAGCCCCCCAAGACCTTGCTGGAACAGACACTCCTTCTCCCTCATGTCCTCCATCTGCTGCTTGTCTACAGAAAAGCTTAGCCAAGGAATAAATGTAATCAGAGAAGTGAAAAAACATGGAAACAAAGGAAAACAGTCAAGCAAGAAAAAATAATAATAGTTTAGCCATTAAGCAAAGTTAAGGACCTTCAGTTTCTCCTCAAGAGCTACAGATACATATTCTGAGTCAAATCCTTTGAGCTGTTTTGCAGATACTGAAACCCCCAGTAGACAGAAGTTAACTATGTAATGACCAGACTGTAGTTATGACATAAGCTCTTCCGTCTTACAAAATTTCAAGAACTGGCCTCAAGGAAATGGGAACAATACTTGTACTTAAAACAATTATATGATGCTCATCAGACCATAACATGACCAATTTCAAGATCTTTGTGGAGCTGTTCTGCATGTAGCCTCCCTCCACCAACCCCTCCATTTACCTGTACATCCCTAAATATCTCCTTTAAAAGCTCTTGCCCTGATCAGCAAAGGGGAGCTGGTAAGAGGAGCTAGTTTTTTGGGCCATGAGTCCATCTTCTTCCCAGAACAGCACCAGTTTCCTCAACAAAGCCGTCTTTCCTTTTACCCAACACTTGGTTCTCAAAAATTGGCTTTCAAACAGCAAGCAGCCAAGCCTGAGTTCAGTAACCTTCATGGGTTCACCAGAATCAAAAAATGCTAAAGACAACAAAATTCTTATTCTTGACAACCTTCTAAAATAGCAGTTACTGTGGGTGTACCAGGAAAGAACCTGCTTTTACTAGTATGCCTGTGTGCTTGCCAAGTCGCTTCAGTTGTGTCCCGACTCTTTGTGACCCTATGGACTGTAGTCTGCCACACTCCTCTGTTCATGGGATTCTCCAGGCGAAAATAATGAAGTGGGTTGCCATACCCTCCTCCACAGGATCTTCCTGACCCAGGGATCTAACCTGCGTCCTTTACACTTCCTGCATTGTCAGGCAGGTTCTTTACCACTAGCACAATCCGGGAAGCCCAACTAACTAGTATATGCCATAGTATAAAAGTTACTAAGTTAATCCATGGTATTTCTTTTCCAGATCTGGATGCAAGAAGATTAGAGATACCATGCCAGAATTTTTCCTTATCTTAGAGATCTAGTTATACATCCACATCTCTCCTTTCCTCCTTTATCTCTCTTAGCCTTATACTTCCATGTTCTGTAAATTGCTGTATTTCTGGCATACTTCAACTGTAAGCTTTTTAGACAATTTTGTCAGTTCAGGTAAGTTCAACAATGACAAACAATCATAATATATACCCTAGGAAAACAACTTGACATTCTTTTAGGAACTTACTAAAAATAACCTGTGTAAAAATGACTTCTACATACCATGGAAAGTAAAGGTATACTGATATGGCACTTGATGAGGCTAGGAGTGCAGGGAAAGCTTCCTGGGGCAAATGACAGTGGGTATAGTCTTCAAGGATGAAGAGTATTTAGCCAAGCTAAGAACTGAGAAAGGTGTTCCAGTAAGAGTTACAGAGACACAAAGCATGGAGAAGAGTACAGGATACAACAAATAGTTTTAAATTAATTATGGCATGACGTGAGAAGGGTCAGCTAATAGGACAAGATAGTAAGGGTCAGCTGATAGAGGCTCCATAGGCATGCTAGACTACAAGTGAAATATTTTAAATAGGAAGATTTACAAGATCACAGTGATGGCAGTTCCAGTGACAATGTTAAGAGGAATAAGACGTAAGGCAAGGAGACCACTTTAAAGGCTGCTACAATACCTCAGCTGATAGGGCTGAAAGAGCTAAACTAGTCATGGCAGATGTACCAGGAGAAGAGGGACTGTTCCGAATGCTCAGTCTTTCTATGAAAATGAAGCTGGAGAGAAGGCAAGATATCAGGAGGAATGTTTTAAATGGTACTAACTGATTGCTTCCAGAACATCATTTAAAATGCAACTAACATTATGGTTTCTTAATGAGTTATAGATAACGCTGTTCTTAAGCCTTTACCCTAGTCTCTGGCTAGAAAATTGGAAAGTTGCCTATTCTTGACAAGACACTGAAAAGTTATCTCTTAAATTAGGTGGTTTTATAAGATAACTAACGCCATCTCTTTCACAGAGTATTATTTATTTGCTTAATGGTATATCTATACAGAGCCTACAATCCTTCACTCTAAACTGAAAAACATCCACATAAAATCAAAATAGTCCCCTTAGGAGATCATTCAATTATTCCAACAGTCCTCTAAAAGCTCAAAATATTTTGGGAAATATTAGGCACCACCTTTCAGAAACTATATGAGATTATTTTGAGTATATTCAGTAGAGACAATATATGAATTTAGTATTTTTTATTTTCTGAGAAAATTAGAGTTCAAAGTAAAGCTTTAATAACAATCTGATCAGGTATTTGAAGATACTTGGTTCATAGCACAGGCAAAATTATCTGATGTATCCCAAGCACCTAACACTTAGCAGCTACTCAATTATGGTTTGCTGAATACTCAATATTTGTTAAAGAATTCATCTAATTTAAATATCTGAATATCTTAGGACTGTCTTATTATTCTCTGTTGCTTTGTTTCTGGTCATTCATATTCTCTCTATATTTTTAACCATGCCTCATAATTTTTCTTAGGATGCCAGACACTGTATTAATAGATGAAATGCCATGAAGAGGTTCTAAAAAATATTACTTTTCCCTTAAAGAGGATTATATTTTGGGAAGCTGGCAGACAGAGTACAAGTAGATATCCTTGATCATGTGCAGGGGTAATCTGAGGCTCTACTGGCTTGCTTGTATTTTGCACTTAGTACTAGGATATGATCCTTACAGGATTTGAATGGAAAGCCTGAATCTTCTTACCAAGCCTTTCAAACATTATTGGATTTGAACTTAAATTATTCACTTCCTCTGTTTGTCAGGGTCACCAACTCCACATTGTTCAACGCTAAAAAAATTTTTTTTTCCACCTTCATCCTTACCATTCACAGAAGTATCTTACAGAAGTGACAAAAAGACAAAGGCAAAGTCAAAGTCGCTCAGTCGTGTCTGACTCTGTGACCTCATGGACTATACATATGCGGTCCATGGAATTTTCCAGGCCAGAATACTGGAGCGGGTAGCCTTTCCCTTCTCCAAGGGATCTTCCCAACCCAGGGTCGAACCCAGGTCTCCTGCATTGCAGGCGGATTCTTTACCAGTTGAGCCACAAGGGAAGCCCAAGAATACTGGAGTGGGTAGCCTGTCCCTTCTCCAGTGGATCTTCCTGACCCAGGGATCCAACTGGGGTCTCCTGCATCGCAGGTGGACTCTTTACCAACTGAGCCATCAGGGAAGCCCCCTACAGAAGTGAGCCCTCCAAGGCAGAAAATGTTAGTTCTATAAACTAACTCTAATTTCCAACTATTTCTTGGCTCTACCTCAATGGAGAAATGGCAAAGCGTAAGTAATCCCCCCACTAGCCAAATCAAATAGTTCTTATGTTTTGGAAAGTGAGTGGTCTCAGCTGCAAGAGTAAGAGTCCCAATAGTGATGAACACCTGTACTTGCTTTCCAGGTCTCCATAAGAGCAAAGGAGTAGCCATGTAAAACAGCTCCAACCAATGAGACTGTCTGTTGCTATTTCTGGGATGGCTTTTACTTTTCTTGAAAAAAAGAAAGGACACAGTTAGTGCAGTCTCCTCCTCTGCTTTCAGCCTTGAATAAAAACTTGACAGCAGAGAAGCTGTTACTAGCCACGTTCACACAAAAACTTTAAATAACTATGCCATCTAGTTGTACCTGGATCCCTTCCTGCTGCTATCATTAGGTAACACCTAACACCCTGTTTATTCCTCATCATTCATTGAACACAATGGGGCCTGTTTCCTGATCCCAAGCCCTATAGCATCTTTTAAAACATCCAACCACACTTCCTAGCCTAAATTTCATTCCTTGAAATCTTCAGGTAACCTTATCTCCACTATTCCTTCCAGTCACACATATGGGCACATCCATCTCAACTGAATCTACTCTATACATAAAATATTTGTTTCAAATATTTTTTCTTTACTTGATCTTCACATTCACCTAGGTCTTTCACAATAGTTTTCCTAGTATGACTACCTCTGGTTTTTATTACCTTGCGAAAATCTCCAGCTGACTCACTGGAAGAGTCCCTGAAGCTGGAAAAGATTGAGGGCAGAAAGAGAAGAGGGCGTCAGAGAAGAGATGGCTGGATGGCATCACTGATGCAGTGGACATGAAGTGGGGCAAACTTCGGGAGATGGGGAAGATCAGCAAGGCTGGAGGGCTGCAGTCCATGGGGTCGCAAAGAGTGGGACATGACTGTGTGCCTGAACAATAACAAAATCTCCAGTCCCCTGACCACTCAACTTTTTTCCCACGCAGTGCCTCCTGGAGAATGAATTAGTTAACAAAGTTAACGAATAATTATGAAACTCCTACACTGTGAGAGGAACATGGCAATAGAGGAAAACTAGAGAGGTGTCGTCCTGTCTTCAAGGAACTTAAAATCATGGCAGGGGAAAGAGTTATCAATACAGGAACCAAAACCAAAAATACATACAAACTGTGATAAGCTTTAGAAAGTGAACAAGCACTGACTGAGAAAGACAATAATGTAGAAGGGAGGAGGGTGCAGACAGAGAAGGCTTCCTCTAGGAAGTCTCTGAGCCAAGTCTTCAAGGATCAGAAGAGCAGTTAGTGCAGCAGCATGCTGGGCAGCAATGGAGACACGAACAAAGGCCCTCCTGTCTGAGGGTCCCTCTGGCCTCCTCCCCTCCTGTTCTCACCTTGTCGATCTTCTCCCTTTTGTCAGGCTCTTTTATCTAATTAACTGTATTCCTTCTCAGTCTCATCTTGTGTCTTTCCCTTTCCATTTTCCCCACTCTTTTCCTTTTAGCCAGTATATAATGTAGAACACAAGGCTGTTTAAATTGTTGGTTTAATAATTCTTAAATTATTTATTATTAGCTAAATAATTAACCTTCCTGCTCATAATTTTTTTAAAGCAGGCTAATTATGTATATTATCTTTAAATTAAATGACATCTGTAGAACTTAACTGTGTGCCATTCAACTGATTTGCTTCCTTGTGAATCAGTACAATTTTACTAGAAAGAAAAGCAAATATTAATAGCTCAGTAGATGATAACTAAAGTAACTTATCAACCTCATTTATTCACTTTTACAATACTTTTCTGATATGCAAGTGAAAATCAAACCTAACAATCAAATATTATGGGACTCCTAATCATCCATAAAAAATATTAAATATTTTGCTCTTCCTTTGATAAGTTACATATGCATACATCTGTTCAAAGACTATAAACAAGTATAACCAGAGACTGCAACTCTGTCCCAAAGCAATGGCTTTCCATGGTCTCACTAGACTGTTCCATTCAGTAATATTAGTATTTAATAACTTTACAGCATGCATACCTTGTTGTCTTCCCAATAAAGTGCTAAACATTCATCTCCAGATTTCCATAGTTTTGCATACTCCATAGGAATAGATGATTCTAGTACTTTTTCGGGTTTAATTGGCCCAGATCTTCTTTTGGGACCACTACTGTAAAATATTTTATCATCATAGGATGAAGCTGTGATGGGTCCTCCTGGCTTAATAGGTCCCACTCTCCTTCCCTTCAGTGGCATTTCTGTCTCTCCATTTGGAACACCAATGAAACTATTCGTTCGGACAGGATTCTGATAATCACTATTTATATTAAAATGTTTTTCAATTTTTACACCACTAAAAGCTTCATTATTTATTGTTCGTGGCTTCCTGTCATAAAAATGATCCGAATTTGCTGTTTGGTTTTCTCTTTTCCCACGTTTGTGATTATTATAATCTATGAATTCTTGAGGAAATGGATTTTCTTTTGCCTCTGCATAAGATGGACCTTTTCCTGATCGGCTTTGCATAGAGTTATCCCTTTTTTTAAATACAGTATCACTGTGTTGGGAACTTAAAAGGTAAGAAGTATCTTTAGTTCTATCATATCTAGAATACGGTCTATCACATTTGATTCTCTCTTCAGGCCATACTTCAGACCCTGAAGAAGTACTTGGTCTTTCAGAACCTCTGTTTCTAGGTAATCCACTGCCTTCTAAAACTGCCTTTGAATTTTGGGTGTCTCTTTGAAAACGAGGAGGTTTTTCATTTCTTGGCTGTCTGGTATCATTTCGAGGAAGATATCGTGGTTGATTATTATCTTTTACTCCATTTTGCTCAGTATTTGACATTCTGTTTTGTCCTTGATGAAGCTGCTGCGGCTGTGATTTAGGTTCTGAAAAGTAAAAGTAATCATATGCATATTAAAATGAAGACTGCATTAATACTTAATTATAAAACTACTCATTTAACATCTTCTACTATCTTCCTACCTCATCATCTTAATCCCTCTTTGCTTGGTTAGACTCATGTTTCTAATGTACAGTTTGCCTGGTTAGCCATATTAGTGAAGTAAAGCAATGATATGAACCATGAAAAAATGGTGGATAATTCAAAAGCAAGTTGTATTTTTTACTGAATAGTTGCATTGTTGTAGCTATCTATACATGCTGTTCTGGTAATTCATTTCCCAAGACTGGTGAAACAGAACTATAAACTGAAACCACAGAAGCTGCTATGAAACTGTGCAAGTACCCCTCTAAGTCAGTTCTTTTCTGAATCCCCACCCCATTTTTTTTTTTTTCTTTTTCACGTCAGAAAAGTAATGTACCAATGTCATAACAAGGTTTGGAGGGAGGCACATGTCACGCAGCAGCGTGAACACCCAATCATCATGCTCATGAACTACAAAAGGATCCCCACCCCATTTAAAATGTATCATTCACTGTCAGTCAAGTTCTAGTCTTAGCAGAAAAAAAAAAATTCTCAGTTCTTTCCGGATCTGGAATTGCTAAATGTTTGGATTACAATTAGATATCTATTATAAACCTTCCCTGGTGAAGGACAGGGAAGCCTGGTGTGCTGCAGTCCATGTGATCGCAAAGACGTGGACACAACTGAGTGACTGAATAACAACATAAACCTATCAAGAACAGGTACTACTTGGAAATACAGGGGAAAAAGTGTCAAAATCTGATTAAGCAAAATAGTGCAGAAAATGTCCAACCAGAAATCAAATCAGTAACATAGCATATATACATATACCTCACAGATAATCTGACAGTTATATTTCACATAGCGATCTTTATTCTCCTTCAATTTGTACTGTGTCACTTATTCTTTCTTCCTCCACTGTTTCTCATAGCAAACACAGTTACCAATCAAGTTGACTGGTCCTGGTGCACACATCTTGTTTCTCTTGCCAAACACTATAATCGGTATGCACATTAGGATTATTCTTACATTTTCCTGAGGTCACAATACTTCTTAATAGGGATATTACTAGATTCTGGGTGAGAATGCTTCCTGTATTTGCAAGTAAATTAACTTCTTTGACCTCTAGCTACTAAATGCCAAAGCATTCTCCCTTAGCACTACTAGTCACTGTGACTACCTAAATTGTCTCCATACATTTCCAAACACCCACTGGAGGAGAAAAGGTACCAAGTAAAATGTTCAGATCAGCAGAAATAAAGAGAAGATCTTTAAAAGGTCCCAAGTGACAAAGCAAGTCAAGACTAAAGATCAAGGCTCAAAATGAAAAGAAACTTCTCAGCAGAGCCACGGGAAGCTAGAAGTTTACCTAATAGACTTTAAATCACTTTGAAATTAAAGGAAAATTATTTTCTAAGTACAATTCTACATTAGCCACTGATCGCAACAAAGAACAAAGATTTTTCAAATATGCAAGATCTCATATACTAGCCAAGACCATCTACAGAGATACTTTTACAAAATCACTTTTTTCCTAAGATCTGCTTTACCAATATAACACACAAAAAATAGTATCTTATTTTAGATCACTAGAGTCAATATTAATTTTTTTCTTTAGAAAGAAGAAAAGTAGACAGAAATGAGCATTTTCAGCAGTACGCATGTTCCGGCACTTGTTAATAGAAGTAGCAGCTGCCTCTTGCTGACTATCTGCTATGTGTTATGTACCCCATACCTGCCCTTTATACACATTATCTATAGTCCCTACAGCTGGCTTAACATACAAGTGTTACAGGGTTTATTTAATAGAGAGATGTAATATATGCTGAATTGAAGAAAATTTTCAGTTTCCAAAGTAAGTCAAATATGAAGGTATTTGCTGACAACAAAGTCTGAATAGATACTTGGGAAGTGAAGTGAAGTTGCTCAGTAGAGTCAGACTCTTTGTGACCCCATGGGCTGTAGCCTACCAGGCTCCTCCGTCCATGGGGTTTTCCAGGCAAGAATACTGGAGTGGGTTGCCATTTCCTTCCCCAGGAGATCTTCCTGACCCAGGGATTGAACCCAGGTCTCCCGCATTTTTGGCAGATGCTTTACTGTCTGAGCCACCAGGGATATTTAAGATATTTGTGAAGTTAAAGCTTTTTAGATCTCCTGTGTTTAGAGATGAATTTTTCAAAATTATTCCAGCTAGGGACAACAAAATCTATGATGATCAGAAAGTACAAACAACTTAAGTCATCATGAGAATAACTAAGTTATCAGTCAGTATCCTGGACCTCAAATGGCAGTTTGAATAACCATGCATACAGGATGAAGGTTTCAATTAGGCTTGGTAGGTGGGGGAGAATTTGATTACAGCTCTTCTAAAAGAAGAAAAAAGGTAAATATTTCCTAATCTACTTAACTGATGATGTACATTACAGAATAAAGCAAGTAATTTTTACTATTAATAAATATACTTCATTCCCATTATTATGCTGAGACAATACAGTGAGAGAAGAATCTATAAAGAAAACTGATTTTAAAATAAGAACTACACTTAAAAAAATAAACTCAATGAGGCAGAAGATAAAATTGTGCTTTTAAAAGAACACAGTTTTTATATACATACAAATCAAAACAACAGTAAGCCAAGGAAGGTCCTTAAAGGTTTCACCACTCCTGTATTTCCTTAGACATTTTATCTTAAGTAATGAAGTCAGAAGTAAAGTAAATATTTTGAAACTGAATTAATCTATTAAATAATAGAATATACTAAATCACTAAATTGTGGAAAGGTGATTTTAAATATAGAAATAGCCCAGAAGTCAAATAGAAAGCCTCTTTCTGCAGATGGAAACTAGTTGCTCTCTGTTGCTCTTCCTGAGGAGGCATGGATGATTCCAAACCAAATAGTAACTGACAACACAGGCCAGGTCTACAGTCACTAACTGAATACAAGTGAGACACTTTTTCTGTACAGGAAGAAGAATAAAATGCATTGCTTTTTTTTCTTCTTTTTTAAAATGAACTGAAGGAGAAAGGTGAAAGAAAAGCATAAACAGAAATCAGTAACATTATATATTAAATAGGAGAAAAAGTGGAAAAAGAAAATTAGCAAAGAAATGACAAAAATTCATCACAAAATAGATAAAATTGTAAAAACATCTAAAAGATCAAAATGATAAAAGTTTATATGATAAAATTAATCAAAGGATACTACAAGAGTTTTGTTTGACTTGTAGTAAAATGTACCTGTTATTATCAGCTCATGAGTTTCAAAATGCAAATTTGCAAAATAATTGATTACAATGTTTTACAGCCCATGTTCTGAAATGCAAGGATCATTAAGAGTGAATTTATTAATTGGCATAACTTATTTGGGTTTGTACATTAGAATGTGCTTTAATAAAATGTATTAAAATATTAATACTTCTTTACAGAGTATTCATTCTCCAGTTGCAGCTGTTCCATGCTTTTTATAGTAGAAAAACAGGTACATTTTCTTTCCCAAGATGATCCTTCATTTTATTCTGAGACACCTACTTGAAGACATGGCTTAATTAATATTTTACTATGTACCTGACTCTACTTTAAAGGTCTTTTGACTATACTACTTCATGTAATTCTCCCAACCACCTTGAAAGGCAATATTATTATCCCCACTTTATAAGTGAATTAACAAAAAGCTGAGTTAACAGCTAGAAAATATTAGCGTCAGAGCTGAACTCAAGTCTAACTGAAGAAAAAGACCATAATTTTCTCCCTATGCAAGCTGCCTGCCTGGAGAAACAAAGCAGAATGTAACAAAACATGTGTTAGCTACAATTTTATCACCTACATCTGTTCATTCCTGGTATGATGAAGAAGTCGCAAAAGTTCTTTCACAATCGCTGATGAACTAAAAATATAAATTTGGATACTAGGAATGCCAAAATTCTGACCTGAAACTAATAACCTCTTTCCATTAATGCAAAACAAAAGGAATACCTGTTTATCAGCTAGATATTATTTTTAAAATGTCATAGTACCACAGTAAAACAGATTACCAACTAATGCATATATTAATTCAAGTAGAGTAGTTAAAATCACTGCTGAGTAATCTTTCAACAAGTAAAGCAAAATAAAAACAAATCATCCAAGATATTTGTTACAAAAAGATGGTATTAACTGATTAGTACATGAATTCAGATTAAAACAGAAGCATAACATTTTCTAATATTTCTGTGTCTATATACAGACCAGGTTACATTTTTTTACATCAAAATTTTCAACTAATTTTCCCAATTATACAAATAAGGGCTTATGTGTAAAATATCTTTGCATATTTTTTATCCAAATATCTTTAGATATTCTAAATATCTAAAATATCTTTAGATATTCTGTTATGATGACAAAACTCTTTGGCTATAAAAGTTTATCTATCAGCTCAAAATTTATATGCTTTGGTTCCTCTTGTAAAAAATTACTTCCTCTATAAATTTATTTTGTATGAATTCTGACTTTGATTACAAAGGTTAAAATAAGGAAATATATCTCATTCTTAGCAGGTACATATAAACACAAGTGGTTATTAAATGATAATGTTCTCCACATAGTAAAAAATAAAATGTAGTCTTTTAAAAATATTATGTGATATGAAGAGATACTGCTCATCACTCCAAGCTTAAAGTGTAACTTTTTCATGCTATATTAAATATGTCCTTACCACTTTCTTCAAAATAATCATTTTAATGTCCATAGATCATTTATCTACAGGATATCCTTCAGCTTTCTTCTAACCCCACTACTTCGCTGACACTATTTTTGTCAAGGTCTCCAATCAGTGATGTGTTGGAGCCAGTCTGAATATTGCATAAAAACTGATTATCAAATTTTCAGAAAATCTGCAACCTGGTTGCAAATTTAAACTAACTTGAAAGTAGTTGCTGATAATATGAAATTAGCCATAGTGGAAATTTATACCACAGAAATCAGGAA